AGAGTACATTTCTTGAAATTTTGGCTAGAATTGTCTTATGTGAGAAACTAAAAGCCAAAAGCCATAAGCTAAAAAGGCTTATGGCCTTTCCATTTGGTGAGTGGAGAGAGCTTTGCGTTCTTTACCTTTGGCTTTGTTCCATACAAGTGGAAAGATTTGCAGTTTTGTCCTGTTTATTGGCTGTTTGGAACAGATGGGCTAGATATAGGTTCTCTTTTAAAGAGCTGAAGTCTATCTAGTGTATTGAAAATTAAAAAAGGAAAATTGCTAGAGAACAATGTATTGCTATATAGTCTGCATTCTTTTAGATATTGTTTATGCAAGAAAACCAGAGAGGGTCTACAGCCCTGCTCCTTTAAAGGACTATCTCCATTTACAAAAAATGTAGCTGAATTGATCAATTCAGAATTAATTTAAATTTAATTTCTATCTGAAAGGGATGAGGAGTTAATTGCTCATTTAACTTCCATCAATCCTAAGTGATTAGTGAGAGAGATGGTGTGGTCTTGGACAAGCAGATATTTATTTGAAACATCTATAACCTGACTTTTAAAATACTTCTTGGCATGGTTAGGGGTTGAGACTTCTCTTTTTCTGGGGTACATGTTCTTTTCTAGCTTTACACATTTTTTTTTCCATAAAGATTGTTAAATTCCCTGAAACATTTCGGCCTTAGGAAACTTTTGTGCTGTTTACAAGTGGGTGAAAAAAAAGCATGATGGAGGCTCTGCCTTTCAAAGGGAGATTAACCAACATAGAATATAGCAAAGCTTTCTGCTAATTATTGATCAACTGATTTTCTTATGAAGCTGTGAAGTATCTATATTTATAAATCTCTTTTAGGATCCAAAATAAGTTTGGAATATAGAAAAGATGGGTATCAGGTGGCATATAAATCTAAATAATAATACTTTAAACATTTGGCTGATTGTGACCAACCATCACCATCATCACCATCATCACCATCATGATGGCATAACTAAATAATTCAGGTTCTTAATAGTGCAGGATACAGTGCAGTTAAGTTAGTTGATATTAGGAATTGAAAATAATATGTTGAATTTTCATTTTCATGTGCATTTATACTAACTCTGTTTGTATTTTCCTGAACTAAATTACCCTAAATTTTCTGTACTCTGAATTTTTCCATTCCAGCACCCACAGATATGTATATATGTATAGATTCAAAAACAAAAGACAAAAAGATTTGTTAGACTTTTTTTAAGCAGGAGTTTTACATTTAGCTTGATTCTCAAGTTTTGTGAAGAAGGCAATAAAAAGATAGCTGGAGGAGGAAGAAATAAACAGGAATGAAAAGATGGAAGGCAGAATTGCTATTTACATATGCAAACAAACATCAGTAAAAAAGTATCTATTCTAATGTATCAGGATTCTTACATTAAATGCTAAATATTTTCAAAATCTCAGTCTTTTGCAACATGTCTTACCTTAATATAAGCAAATTATTAGACTTTGCTAGTAGAATATATTTATTGATAGTTATATTTCAGTAGATACCATGCACTGGCTTTGAGATTTAGATATATATTCCTTGTATCACATGTCTGTATATAAAAATACATCTATGCCACTAGCTGAAATGATTATTTAATGCAGTTTGCAAGGAGTTAAAAAAGCATAAAACTGCAAGAAAACCACATTGCTTTGCTTGCAGAGCTGAATGGAATGTCATTTCATTACAGTCAAGTGTTAAATTACAGTATTTCTCATGTAAGGAAAATAAGGTTTTACCAAGCGTTACAAAATTGGTAGAGAGAAAATATTTCTGCACAGGAATTAGTATGTAGTCAGTGTATGGACTGTAACATGGCAATCATAGCATGTGTATTTTCTTTGTAAGTTCATGTATTAGTTTTGTGTGGGAAGCTCCAGCTCAGTGCAGCCTCCCAACACAGCTGTATGCAAGAATATATATATATCTGTGCGATCGCATTACAGTTTCTGTGGTAGTTTCATACTTGGAATAGGTTTTCATCTAGCAATTTGGAAATGTTAACAGTCTTAAGAGAAACAGCTGCTCTGTGGCCAGCAGGAGCAATTTCTTGTTGGGCTTAACTTAAGATAAGAAACAGATTATTCTTTTGATTTTAAGATATATGAATGAGAAAATTGTGGGTATACTCTCTTCTATGGTATGTTATAGGGAAATTAACAATGTTATTGCTTATTAAGTCAGACAGCTCATTTAAATTACAGATTGACACAGTTAAAAATAGTTGATTTATTGTTTACTTTAGAGCCTACTGCAACTTTGGCACATGTGTGAACAATCAATGCCTAACTTAATTCAAACAATAATGCTAGAATTATGATTTCGGAATAGGGAATTGCCATTTCTTGTTGGTGTTGGTCTTATCTGGAAAATGGCACCAATGGAGCCTGTTTTTCCTAAGCCAGGGGTGTCAAACTCACAAGTCTCGTGATGTGTCTTGATGTATTGTGACTTTTTTGCCATTGCCGGCAATGGGGTGGGCACGGTTTTGCTATGTTGCATCCAGCCTGTGGGCCGGCAGTTTGACACCCCTGTCCTAAGCCCTCTTAAGAAAGGATTTGTATACAGACAAACATACAGAGAATCTCCAGGTGATTCAGTTAAAGCTTGGTTCAGTTAAATCAAAGTAATTAATTACCAAAGAAAGCAAATGAATTATTTCCCACCAGTTGGCAGTAGTTTAGAATATAAATTGGAATGACTAAACTGTTTTGTTGATTATGTGTTAAAATTATATCCATAGGCTCACAGGCAGCAATTGATTAAAACCAAAGTTTTGATAAGCAAGATATTAAATGCAGTATGAATGTACCCAATACAGATCAAATGATGCTTAAAATAAAGAACCAAAGAATTCCCCCCCATGATATTAATTAATTTGAGGAGAAGCAAATTATAATTCCCAGGACTTAAAGTCATTTTCTCAGCATAAAGCTACAAGAATAGTGTTCTTGACAGCAGAGACCAATATTTCAGCAAGCTGTTTGATTAGAATAGACAATAAAACATTATTTATTTTCCACCTTATGCATTTTTAGCCAGAGTTTATCAGAAGGTTAGGTGGGATCAACTGATACATCCTCAGATAACTTGCAATATGTTGGTAGAATTTCAAACTCAGTATAGTTTAGCAACAAGTAAGAGCCCTTACCCCTACCCACCAATCAATAGGTGTCAATCCTTAGAGGTAGGTAAGATGAAGAAATAAGAGGCAACAGAGATTATAGGAATGCCCTATATCAGTGGTGGCGAACCTATGGCACGGGTGCCAGAGGCGGCACTTAGAGCCTTCTCTGTGGGCACGCGCGCCATCGCCCCAGTCCTAGGCCTTCAGCTGGGTTTTATAAAATCTTTTCACTGTAGGCCTCCGCCGCCGTGTGCAAAAAAAAAAAGTTCAATCAGTCAATTTCAACTTCTCACAGAAAAAAAAAGATCTTGCAAAGTTGGAATTGATTGATTGAACTTTTTAGTCCCACCCAGTCTGCCGTTACCACTGCAGCCACGCCCACCCAATGGGCCACGCCCACCCAATGGGCCACACCCACCCGGCACTCGACGATGCATAAGTGGGTTTTGGGTTGCAGTTTGGGCACTCAGTCTCTAAAAGGTTCGCCATCACTGCCCTATATTATTATAGGGTAGAATAACAGAATCTTGAGAATCTGTCAGTTTCTTTCTGCCCTATCTTGTAAAGCAAAATCAAGTCAGAGTTATTATGAGTTTCTTTTTCATGCTATCCACTTTTCTAGGCCTGAGTTATCTTACTTTTCTCCTCCCTTAATAGTTCATTGCTCTCTTCTCTAGGTCAGATCTATACTGCTTCACGATATGTTATTAAAGATGTTTTCTTACAACAAAAACAAAAACAAAAAAACTCAAAGGGTAGACTTAATGGATCATTAGGTCTTTTTCTGCTGTCAGTTTTCTATGTTTTTTTGGTAGAGGAAACTAGGAGTAGAGTTTTGTATGGAATGACACTTAAACTTTGCTCCAGTACTGACCAAAAATTTCTAGACTCCATTTCATAGGCATCCTGATCTTAAATTTCAGCACAATTTTCAGGAAATATTCAATTATCTGGACATCTCCAGATAACTTCTTGTGTTGTAGCCCTATTGTTAACAGAGCTAAAACATTTACTAATATCTCACTGTACTTTCAACAGCCATGCTGTATCATTTCTGAATCACCCAAGAAGTGTTTTTTAACACTTGAAGATGTGTGGACTTCAAATCTCACAATTCTATAATCTATTTTGGAAGTCTGAAGTCCATACATTTTGCCAAGGTGGAGAAATATGATCAAAAGAGCTTTGGAAGAAAATCTATTCTTTTTCTAGAAGGTAGATGAGCGCTCTCCAAAATATTAATGTATGGAGAGAGCACTACCATTACAAGGAAAACTTGTAGAGAGCACATTCTTTTTATGGACAATTTCCCAAGTTGCGGTTTTGTCCTACTTGTGATTTGGGTTCTGTGATACCAAAATCTGCTTTTCCAAAGCATTATATCAAAATATTTATTTTGCATCCAAATGAACATGGGATGTTTTATTAGAGATTGTGAAGTATATTGCAGTCTGTTTAGTTATTTTCAAATGAAATGCTGATGCTACTAAACTTTGGCTTATTTTTTAATCTCATAGTGATTAAGGTGCTGGCCTAGAAATCAGGAAACTGTGAGTTCTAGTCCTACCTTAGGCACGAAAGGTGGTTTATCTCTTAACTCAACCACCTCACAGGGTTGTTGTGGAGAAAATAGGAAGAGGAAAGAGTATTATGTTTGTTCACCACTTTGAATTACTTATAAAGTGATAAAAGTACAATAACAATAAAATAAATTAGTAAGTTTTACATTTCACTCCTAATATTTGGAGCATATTGCTTCACAGTTAAGAATATGCTAAGCATACAGCCTTCTTTTAGTTTTTACTTAATTATAAGAATGCTTTGCCAATGATTTCTAATTTTTGTTGTTGTTTCTTAAAGGAAAACGCCAGATCCATCATTTAGGGAACCAGCTGCAACTAAATCAACATTGTCTTGATACAGCCTTCAACTTTTTCAAAATGGCGGTGAGCAAGCACTTAACTCGTGGGAGGAAGATGACCCATGTCATAGCAGCATGCCTCTACTTGGTGTGTAGGACAGAAGGCACTCCACGTATCCTTTCACTGCTTAGCAGTCAGACCATTTCAAAATATCTTGGATATTTCTAGGACTGTATGAATAGAAGGTTATTTTCATATTTGTTAAAGCAATAGAAAACCATTCCAAATTGGATAAAGGTAAACAGTTGATGGAGATTATTAATAAATGGGAATTATTAGATTTAATGGCATTTGGGTAAGGGTATGAGTTGGAGATAGTCCATCTGATTAGATTATATCACAATGTGATTATTTTTCAGGAGAATCTACATCTCTGACCAATATTATAGTTCTAAATCCTAAGTGACACACAAGTTCTGAAGGGACTTGTTGACTAGGTAACATATGACCAGTTCCTGTCTTGTATAGGTATAGTTAAGGATGATTAAGTAATAGATGTAATTCTAATGATAAAAACTGTGTGATTGATCTGGAGTCTAGTCCTTTGTGCTAAAACCCTATCCTATCTGCTTCTGCTGAGCAAATGGTTTATTTTGAATTTTTGTACTTTTTTGTTTTAATTTCATACACCTGCTTTTTCTGTAGCATTTTCTAGTTTTTGTTAGATTTCTGGGTATGTTTCCATTTGTCCACATTATTCTTGTTAAGAGTGAAATTAGATTCTGATGTCCAGACAGATAAGAGATCAGGGTAATTTGAGACAAAGGTGAAGACCATATTCTTTAAATATATAATAAGCAAAAAATATTCCTGCAGGAATCTTGTTGAGTTGAAGGTGAAAAAAATCAAACAGGAAAGGAAATAGTAGATACTAAATTACTTAATATAAAGGACTATAGGAAATACATAGAATACAAAATAATAATAAAAAAGCTGTGTTGTACGTAACTCATCAGAAGTTGGGAAAAAAATAAAAAAATATACTAAGGAGGAGAGAACAGAGAAACTAATGGTGGTTGGGTGGAGAAAGTGAATTTATTACATTATCCTTGATTTATCACATAATCCATGAAAAAAGGTTATTGATCATCTACTCATAAAAAAAAAATAGATGGTTTGGCTATTGGCAGTCATTTCTGCTTTTTAAACTTTCCTTGATCCAACAAACCATTCAGAATATGGGGCTCTTTATCCTTCCTTATTTTCAGATAGGCTGTACATTCAAATCATTTCCCTCCCATTGATTGAACCATTTATGGGGTTAAACAGCTTTTTCTCTCTACTAAGGCATCCCAAAATACTTGAACTTGCACACAATTTCATGCATCCCAGGGCTCTGAGTACTGTTAGGGCCTGAGTCCCTCAGCCTGAGAAGTCTCCAGAGGATGCTGAAAAAGTAGCTGATAAACATGGCAAGAATGCCTGGACCACTGTTGATATATTGGATCTTGACAGAACTAAACCTTTCTTTCTTTCTTTCTTTCTTTCTTTCTTTCTTTCTTTCTTTCTTTCTTTCTTTCTTTCTTTCTTTCTTTCTTTCTTTCTTTCTTTCTTCTTCTTCTTCTTCTTCTTCTTCTTCTTCTTCTTCTTCTTCTTCTTCTTCTTCTTCTTCTTCTTCTTCTTCTTCTCTCTCTCTCTCTCTCTCTCTCTCTCTCTCTCTCTCTCTCTCTCTCTCTCTCTCTCTCTTTCTCTCTCCCTTTGTCTCTCTCTCCCTCCCTCCCTCCCTTCTCTGTTGGAATAGACTGTCTAGCCTGTTACAGCAAACCTTATAAATTTAACATATGTATTATTGAATCAGCTTTTCTGGAGAAAAACACTATTCAGTTCCACATTAGATAGTATTTTTCCTTAAGTAAATGCATTTCACATTAGAAAGCAAACTTTATTATAATTCATTTTTTAGGATTTATTTTAAAATGTGAAATACATTGATTTAACATTTGTTTTCCTGCTTTGCTTTAAAATGTTTGAAATATAGAAACAGTTTTAAATATTCATTACCAGTAGTGTTGTGAAGGGTATTAAATGTGCACGTCACAGTGTATAGATAGCCACCTATATTATGTTACAACTTTGTTCTGTAACACTTCACATAAATTCTATTTATCTGCCATGTTGCCAGGTGTCTGGATTTATGTAGTGCTCTAGTGCCAGACATAATGTTAGCTGCTTGTGAGGAAGACCTTCTTCTTCATGCGGCAGATCAGCTTTTGATCTACCCAAGATAAATTTGAGAGATTTTTTTTGCTTTTTTATTCTGTATTTTTGTTTATGGGTTGACTGGTTTTTCCACTTTTATAATGGATAATAAATTGAAATGCCATATAAGTAGCAATTACAAGTTAGCTACTATATTTTAGTTAGGGTTTCCAAGAGGACCAGACAACAAACTTTCCTCAGTTAAAAGAGAAATGTGTTATTTTAAAAGGGATAACATTGCAAAAGTTGTCAGGGGGACTTTTCAAAAGAGAGCCATTCATCATTTTAAAAATATTTCCATATGTCTGGCGGTGCGGCTGTTAAATATGCCCTCTTTTTTGACAGGTGGAAATATTTAAAAATGTTTTTTGAAATAATATTAGCATTTTAATATTATTTTATTGGCATAAACTGCTTCAGTTTTCCACTTGCAATTAACTTGACATCTGGTCCTCAGAAAGAGGTAGTACATGAGAGAGGCCATCTGGCTTAGTAATTTATGTGATTCTGTTACATAAACTAGAACAGTGAAATGGATGACAATTTTGTGAACATGGGCAAGCTGGATATAGTAGAATGATTTCACTTGTACCGAGTTTCACCTAATATTCCTGCTTCCTTGCTTTTTCCCAATACGTTGACTACTTTTGTTATTGTGGATATGCCATTTCATTAGAATCGGATCTTATGAAGAATTTAGGGAAGCAATCTCTCTTTCTGGGCAGCTAGATACATGGAAGAATACCTTCAGAGAGGGGAATAGTAGTTTAATGGTTTTCATGTTGAATGGCTCAGCTTCTAGCATCTCCAGTTAAACATCAGAAATCAAGTAGCGGACAAGATATTTGCAAAAGGTTTGGACAGCTGCTGCCAAGCAGAGTGGACTGTGATCCTGATAAAAGAGAATATTTGTAGCTTAGGGAAGATCTTTGGGGTCCTTGGAGCTCTCCGAGCTTGGCCGTTTTCTTACAAATGTTTCATTACCAAACTAGGTAATGAATCAGTGCTAGAAAAGAGTGGAGTTTGCTTTCTTTTTATATATTAGTGCCCTGTCAGTATTGGTGGGAGTGGTCTTGGTGCTTTCTTGATTAGGCTGTTGCTTACTGTTGTCTTGCTTGTTTGAGTTGATATTTTTTTGATTGGGGTATGGTTTACTTCTCAGTCGTTGGCCTTAGTATTAATCTTGATGTAATCTCTATGTGCCTATAGATGGTTGATTTGTCTGAATACCAGTTTCCAGGAATTCTGTAGCAGTTTTGGACTTGGCTTGGTCTAGGATGCTCACGTTTTCCCATTTGAAACTATGGTGAAGTCTATTCATAGAGATAAACAACATCTACACACCATTCAAAAGAGACAAAGAGTCAAAAACGGGAGTAAAAAGACCAAAACACTTCTACATCAGCAACCAACACCAGACAAATAGTATGGTCTGTTGAAAAGTCCCTATGATTCTTCATACTTGATAATGCATCTTACTTTGTGAAATGAGAAGTCCTATGCTTATCCATGTATATCTATACCGTCTGCATCTAAAATATAACTTCTACAAATGTGTATATTTATTGCATACCTTCAGAATATTTTTCTTTCTCCTTAATCCATATTTCTTTTTATCCAAATATTGCTTTCTTTTTTCTTTTTTCTTTTGCCATCATTCATGAATATTAAGAATAAGTGAAAAGTCTCAGATGTGAAAGGTGGTTGACCTAACTTGTTTGTCACATGATGTGTCGCGACATATCGCAACTTTTTTCCCCATTGCCAGAGCTGGGGTGGGCGGTGTGATGCATCTGGCCGGCGGGCCAGCAGTTTGACACCCCTGACCTAAGGGGTTGAAAGACTGATATTAAGGTGCTTATAGTATCAAAAGGACAGTATTCCACTGAATGAGAATAGCCTGTGTCTTTAATATCATGGGAATGAAATATTTTTAAAGCTTTGCTGGACTTTCAAAAAGCAGGTTCAACAACATCATTTTTCTTGTCTCAAGGTAAGGCTTTGGGAGGAGTCTTCCATTGATTAGATCTGTTGGTTTTGGATCATGACCATCTCTGCAGTGGATTTTGATGATACTCAACCTGTTCTGGGACCTGATCCTATTGAGTTTTCCATCTACATGTTATTTGACTGTTCTGAATGTGGATGACTTCAGGGCTAAAATTCTGTACAATTGTTTTGCTGATTTCACTAGAAGCAGTCTTAAACATAGTAATATGGTCTAGAACATGCTGGCTGAGGAATTCCAGGAGTCAAAGTCCATAAATCTTAAAGTTGCCAAGATTGAGAAACACTTGTCCAGAAGAAAGCTGCCTGTGTATTTTCCTGGAATAAAGCTGAGTTTTTCTTTGATGTTGAGTATTGTTTTTATGTTTACATTTGCTCTCAGCCTTGCATATAAGTTGAGGTGTTTTTTCAGTACAGCAAAATAGGAGCCTCAGATTTCATCTACACAGGTCTGTTTATCAATGAAACAACACATCTGTGAACCCTGTCTCTGACAGAATCTGCTGTGTAATTATGAAGGACTCTTTGAAACATTTCAACAGAGTGCATGAGGCTGTAGGTAAAAGGAGGAGGTAAAAGCGGTTATGTAAGCAGAATTGTGCTTATGCAACGATAGGTATCACTTTTTAATGATATTTTGAATGGTGTTTCTTTTGGTATACCTTTAATTTCTTTTCATCATCCGCTAATGGAAGGTTTATTGCATTGTTCCCCAGGCACTGTGATATTCACTTAGAACATTCTTTATATCGGAACAAGAGAAAAGTGTCTTATATGCTTCATCTCATTCAGAGCTGTCTATTATGACAAGTCTCCATGATCTTGGGAGAAATCTTTTCTAATTCTGGGACTTTTATTTCTTTGGAAATGGATTTTTGGGCTATCACCTGGTGTTAAAAGGATATA